ACTTGCCCAGCAATGGGTTTATTGCAAGAGCCACAGAGGCCCTTGGCCTGAGTGGGAATGCCACGGCGACTGAGGTCGGACTGCAGCAGGCCCAGCATGGTGTCTAGGCCGCCTTTGCTGGCAGGCTCTGCAGGGGACTCATCCATGGAGCTTGGCACTGGTGGCTGGGTTGATCCAGAAGCTGGGAGCTGCAGCAGGGGATACATGTGATTTGAGTCAGCAAGGTAGCAGATGTGGAAAGGTTTAAAATGGGCCGGGAGCCACACCTCCACACCAGCCCACTCCCTTGCCTGACTCACGTGGTTCTGGACTCGGAAGTCAGAGAGTGAAGCCATCAGTCTGTCCAGCTCCAAAGTGGCAGAGGTAGCCGAAGGCTTTGGGAGAACAGGGGATGGGCTAGAGGGGCAGCTGGGCCTCTTCTTGTCCTCAGATTGGTCCTCTCTCTGCTCCCCAGCAGTCTCCTTGCTGGATGGGAACTGAGACATTATTTCATCTGTGATGTTGAACTGAGTTGCATTAAGTTCCTGAAGCAACTGGTCCAGCTCACAGAGCCCTGTACCCAAGACACCGCTGGAGGAGGAGAACGGAGGGCCCGCAGGGGCCATAGGCTTCGGGGAACGAGGCTTGCATACCGTGCTGTACAGATGGTCCTTGTCCCCTGAGGCTCCTGAAGACTGCCCAGACGCCATCTGTGGCTGGTGGCCATAGGACAGGGGAGATGTGAGGGGCTCTGGGGGCTGCTCTTTTGGAGCTCCTGACCTTGGCATGTGTGAGGTGGTGGTCTCCAGGTCAGAGAGCAGAGCATCCAGGTCCTCCATGGCGGGGTGCAGACAGACCACACCTGCCTTTAGTTCTGTTAGTAGTTGCTTTATATATTTTGGTCCTCCCTTATTGGAAATATATATATATATATGTGTGTGTAAATTTTTAATTTTTGAAAAAAGCAAATTGGCAATATTCATCAAATCTGTTCTTCTGAATTTTGATAACACAATCTAAAGAAACAATTTAAATGTATTTAAAAAGAAATATTTAAGTGTTTAAAAGTATAAACTATTGTCTTCATTTTTAATATACATTTCAAAATATATATGCTGCTGTTTATAATCATGAAAAACAGCAAACAACGTAAAAGTCTAAGAGACTGACTTAGATGTAATCATCATAGATGTAATCCATGTAAAAGTCTGAGTGTAAGAGATTTTTTAGCAGACACTTTACAAGGCAATAGGAAATGGCATGATATATTTAAAGAACTGATAGAAAAGAACTGCCAACCAGGAATACTCTACTTGGCAAAATTGTCCTTCAGAATTGAAGGAGACACCAAGAGTTTTCCAGATAAGCAAAAGTTGATGGATTTCATCACCACTACATTGATCTTACAAGAAATGTTAAAGCGACTTCTTTAAACTCAATGAAAGGACACTAATTTGTAACCAAAAAAAATGAAAGTATAAATCTCACTAGAAAAGGTAAATATATAGTTAAATAGCCAATAATGGAATGGCGGTGGGTAAGTCACTTATAAATGTAGTATGAAGGTTAAAAGACACAGTTACTAAAAGTAACTATAATTACAATAATTTGTTAATGGATACACAAGATGAAAATATGCAAATTGTGATATCAGAGACATAAAATAGGGACAGAGTAAAAATACAGACCTTACGTATGCATTGAAGCTTAAGTTACTATCAGCTTTAAATAGCTGCTATAAATATAAAGTGTTTTATATAAACTTCAAGGTAATCAGAAAGCAAAAACTTATAGTAAATGCACTATAGAAAGGAATCTAAGCATAGCAGTATAAAAAATCATCAAATCACAAGTGAAGAGAGCAAGAGCAGAGAGGAACAAAAGATTTGCAAAGCAGCCAGAAAACAATGAACACAGTGGCAACAATAAGTCTAAACCTATCAATAATTACTTGCAATGTAAATGGCCTAAATTCTCCTATCAAAAGACATAGAATCGCTGAATGGGTAAAATAATAACACCCACCTATGTGATGCCTACAAGAGACTTACTTCAGCATAAAGGACACAAATGAATTGAATATGAAGAGATGGGAAAAGATACTCTATATATGTGGAATCCAAAAGAAGTCAGGGGTAGATATATTTACTTTACACAAAATAGATTTTCAACCAAAAACTGTAATAAGAGACAAAAGAGGTAATTATATACCAAAAAGGGGGTCAATACAAGAAGATATAACATTTGTAAATCTTGATGAACCCAACATAAGTATCTAAATATAGAAGGCAAATACTAACAGGCTGAAGGGAGAAATAAACAGCAATATAATAGTAGGTAACTACGGAGTGACAGTGTGAGGAGTGCTCCTTGATGTCTTCCCTGGAAGTTACAACACATTGAACAGTTATAATTCAACAAAGGAGTCCCTACACAATACACAAACATGTCTGAGAGATCTGTGCATTGAAACATCTTAAGGTGGGTGAATCGGGGAAAACAGGGGAAAAGGGAAGGGAGAAGTGCAGAGATGGGGGCTGCTCCCGGAAAAGGGAAGCACTAAGACTGCAGGAACACTTTCTGTGGCCCCAGAATCCTGCCTGAGGGAATCAGCATATAATACGGCTGAGCCCAGCAATCAGGGCAGAGACCTCCGGTCACAGACCAAATACAGAAGGGCCCTAACAACTGCGGTGTAACAGCCCTCACTGCCAGGCAAAAAACAAAGCCATTGAGCCTGGTCACCTCCACCCACCTTCCCAGAGCTCCTTCCCTCGCACCCTCCCAGTGCTAGCAGTGATCCCAGAAAAAAAAAATGAAAGCAGTGTCAGGTTGAAGAGCATAATGTCTACACCTCTGAGAACTGGAAACAATTCCTGAGTGGCAGACGCACAGTGTGGCTAGTTCTGGTGACAGGGAAGGAGATGTGGGGGAGAAGAACTGGTGGTCTGGAGTTCGCCAGTGCGCCGAAGAGAGCAGGACTGCAGGTACGCTTGCCACTTCTCCCAGCCCAAGCCGCCCTCACCTTTCCCAGATGATTGCAGCGAGGGCACCTAGGGCTGCTGAGATGCATAGCTCTACATCTGGCTGTTGTGGCAGCACTGAGATTTTATAGGCTCAGAATCCCATGCTCACTACATCCTCCCACGGTGGGTGGCGTGCCCAGAGACTGAAGCAACCTGGTCACAGAGTAGACTCCCACTTCCCCCAGGAAATTGCCCATGGGAGAAGCCAGAGCAGCACAAGAGAGAAAATAAAACGCTCTGGCGCCACCTACTGGAAAGCAAAACAAAGACATCTTCATATCAACGTGATGTAGAATCCACTCCAATAGATGTCCAGGAAATAATTTATTAATTGCCATGAATAACCAAGGTAACAAGGCAGCTCAGAGAGAAAATAAAAGAGCTCCAGAAAATGAACTTAAAGACATGAAAATATGTGACTCAAATTACAGAGAATTCAAGATTTCAGTTCTGGAAAATCTTAACAAAATGCAAGAAAACTCAGGCAGTTTAATGAACTCAAAAATAAAATCAATGAACAAAAATGAATATTTGACCAGAGGTTGAAATTTTTAAAAAGAACCAAATAGAAATTCTGGAGATGAATTGTTTCACCAAACAGAGAATTTAAAAAGAAAAACGACAATGTGACATCCAGTAATAGGGCACCTAACACAGGAGAAAGAAGTCAAGCTCCAGGCTGCCTGTTGCTTACAAAGCAATGAATCTAGAGTGGAGCAGAAGGAGGACTAGCAGAATAATGTTTCCAAGGAGGAAAATGGAACTGACATATTGCCTCATGTGTCTGACCATAAAAGGGTGTCAAAAAGCTGGTGTTGAATTAGGAATAAACGTTTTAAAAAAGTAAGCAAAGACACAGGAGGCAATTACTTTGGAAAACTGGCAGTATCTAAACAACTAAACATATACCCATCTTGTGATACATCAATTCCACTCCAAGTATTGAGTGCACTTTGTCCACCTACGGACATAGAGAAGAATGTTCAGAACAGCTTTATTCATAACAGACAAAAACTGAAGGCAATTCAATACTCAATGGCAAAATTACTAAAAAAATTGTGGTATATTCATACAGTGAATAACACTAAAAAAAACATAAAAAGGGAGGGAGTAAAGTTCTGTCATTTTAGTTTTGTGGTGTGTATGATTTTTCCTTTCCTCTTTTTTATGTTATGTGCATCAGTTCTGGATTCTTTTTTCAGTGGTTACCATTAAGATTATGTAAAAGAGGCTGCCGTGAGCTACTGTGAGTGGCCGGCAGCCAGCGTGAGCTGTCGTGAGCGGCTGTCCAGTGGGTTGGCGACTGATCTGCCTCAGCCAGGAAGACCGTAATGATCACAATATCAACATGGGCCAGTGAAGTGACATCCTCCACAACTAGGTTGAAGAACAAAAGGACAGCAACTTGTCTGTTCCCCTTCCCCGATTCCCCAACGCTGTTCCCATCCCCCAATTCCCCAGCTTAAAAAAAAAAAAGTGTGGGAGCTTGTGAAGAATGCACAATCTCTTTCCCCAGCCCAGAATTCAAATACATTAACAAGATTCCCAGGTGATTCTTATGCACATTAAAGTTTAAGAAACACTAAAAAAAAAAAAAAAAGATTATGTAAAAGAAAATTTCATATATACAGTAGTCCTTTTTCTTCAGCATGTTTCTTATCTCCATTCACCTTTGCAATTTCAGACCTTGAAATTAATATAAAACATATTTATATACAGTCTATTTAAAGGTGATAGTAACTTAAGCTTGAACTCATACTTAAGGTCTATATTTTTACTCTGTCCTCATTTTGTCTTTGACATCACAATTTACATATTTTTATCTCATGTATCCATGAATATATTGTTGTGATTATAGTTATTTTTAGTAACTGTGTCTTTTTTTTTAAGCTGAGCCATCCTGCTACCGGTTGGCAGTTCAGCGGCAGCTCAGCTCGGCAGGCATCGAACTGCTGTTGCTCAGAGCTCAAACTCTGGAGCGAGCTCTTAACCAACTGAACCACTTGGCTTGCCCGGAAAGTGGCAAGAATGATGGGATAAGTGTTTGAAGCGACGGGAAGTATTTTGAGGGGGACTAATGGCCATGTGTCTTTTACTGTAATTTTGTTTTAATTTAAACATTCACCATATTTTTTTTATCACACCTCATAGCTCATGTATCATTTCCTTACCTTGGTGAGCATCTTTATAATTATTTTGAGCTCTTTATTGCCATTTCATGCAGGGCTGTTTCTGGAGTTTTATTTTGCTCTTTTGTTTGGAACATATTCCTCATTTTCACTGACTCTATTTTTTTCTGTGTATTAGGTAAAACAGCCACATCTCCCAGTCTAAAAAGAGTGGCTTTATGCAGGAGATGAATCTTATTTTTCAGCCTGGCCCTAGGTCCTTGTTTTCTCTCAAACCTTAGTGATTTGGCAAACCACCTTCTTTGTTCTTAGTGATTCCCAGTAGTTGAAGGTGTGCCAAGACCTGTCATTAGCTCAGTCAGCACCTAGACTCAGGTTCATTGGAAGTTGAACCCTCAGGCTTCAGCTTTTAAGATATGCAAATCAACCTCTTTGAAGGAAAGACTGAGAGATGGGTGTTTCTGAGTGCTCCCTCAGTGCTGAGCTGCGGTGTGATAAACAGTTAAAAATTCTTTCTTTCTTTGCTATAGTACTCTGGGACCTGCAAATGCAAGCTCCTCTAGCCACTAGAGCCAGGAAATCAAGTGTTGCATCTTCTGGGTGGCAGCCACAAATGCTGGGGTGCCAGACATGTGCACAAGCTGCTTCCAGGGAAATACTGGTGCCTTGGTGTGAGCAATTTGGTATGGACCAGAGGAGATTCAGTTGGCCCTTAGATGTGTACTAAATTATGATCTTGACCCTCAGGGTATAGGTTTAAATAAATGCAAATAGGCCTCTTTCAGGGGAAGACTGGGAGGTGGGCATTTTTCTTTCTTGCCCCTGTGCTGAATCTTGAAGGGATAGCCACTGGAAGTCCTCAGAAGCCCATTAAGAACTGTTTCTTTGTGGGGGCTGGTCGGGTGTCTCAGTTGGTTAAGAGTGTGAGCTCTGAGCAACAGGGTCACCGGTTCGATTCTCACATGGACCAATGAGCTGCGCCTGAGCTGAGCTGCCACTGAGCTGCTAACAGACGGCAGGATGGCTCAGCAGGTGAGAGCACGTGTTCCTAACAACGAGGTTTCTGGTTCCACTCCTGTATTTGATGGTGGGCTACATCTACCCATAACTAAGATTGAACATGGCACCTTGAGCTGAGCGGCTGCAAACTGCTGACGGGTGGCCGGATGGCAAGTGGACTTGGAGCTGAGCTAGCTGTACGTTCCACTATTAAGATTGAAGGACAACTTGGTTGTTCCCTCCTCCAATTCCCCAATAAAATCTTTAAAAACAAAAAACAAACAAAAAAACTCTTATTAAAAAAAAAAAGAACTGTTTGTTTGTTATAGTCTTTTGGGTCTCCTGGATGAATTCTCCATTGGCTTTCAGAGTTAGATGATTGGAAAGCTCATCTTTAAGTGGAAATCTTAAAAGTTGGGGTACAATATGTTTGAACCGAATTCTTCACTCCTCAGGGAGAAGCTGGGAGTTCCGAGTTCCCTTCCAATTGTATGTTGCTGTGCTGGGTGTGGGGTTTATGGTGAGTGTGTATCTCAGCTTTTCCTCCCCATTTGATGTGGGCATTTTCCTCATTTGCCCAATGTTTTATTTGCTCAGCTAGTTTCTGGATTTCTTTCATAGGGAATTGTTCCATGTGTAGCTGTAATTTTAGTGTGTCTGTGGGAGGAGGTTGAGTTTATGTCACCATCCTGGAACACAAACTCAATGTTGTTTCTTTTCTGAAGTTCCAAATCTTTTCTTCTTTCTAAATGTTTTCTGGTATTCAGATTGGGTAAATTCTATCAATCTTTCCTTAAGTTCACTGATTGTATCTTCTGTGATCTCCACTTTACTATTGAGCCCATCCAGTAAGCTTATTTTGGTTATTGTATTTTTTTAGTTCTGCAATTTCCATTTGTTCTTTTCTATAATTTCTGTTTCTTTACCAAGATTTAAAAATATTTTCCATGTTTCAAGATAATTCATAATTACTTCTTGATGCATTTTTCCAGTTGCTTAAATCCTTGTTTAGATAATTGAAACCTCTGCCTCATCATGGAGTCTGTTAATTGCTTTTTGTCATTAAGTTGTTATTTTCCTGGTTCTTGTTATGACAAATGATTATTTTGGATATTTTGCATATCATATAATAAGAATCTGGGTCTTATTTAATCATTCTGCTTAGTAGGCACTATCCCTCTGGAGGTATAGTAAAAAGGTTGGGTAGGGTGGAAGTTCAGCTCCTGTCTAGGCCCCTTTTTGATACCTTTCCAACAAAAGTAGGGCAATTATTTGTATTGTATCAATATTTCTGAGTATTGGTGTAAATCCACCTTTTCATTGGGCCCTGCTGATAACATGGAGGGGAGAAGTGGAGGATTAACCAACACCTCTGTGTTTCTGCAGGATGGGAGTGGAAGCTCAGTTCCCAGGTTGGTCTTGACACCAAGGGAAGGAAGTGGGGTGGCAATTAAGATAGCTTTTCATCACCTAGCTCTTTCTCCTTGATGTTGAGCAGAGATGGAGACTAAGATTTTCATTGGACCTTGCTGACAGCAGTTGAGGGGTGACCTGAGTGCTGACTAGCCCTGCTTTCCAGATCCTATTTCAGTCTCAGTGTTGGTATGTGGAAATGTAGGTTCAGTTTCTCACTGGTCTTCAATGACATAGGAATAGGAGAAAAGTAGAGTGCTAACTAGCTTGAATCACGTTGTCTTGTTCAGTGTGTTGCTAGTAGATGAGAATGGAGGCTCAGCTTGCTAATGCTATTCCTGCAGAAGAAATAGAGTGCTGCTGCCTACTTCTGTCACAGAAGTATTGGAGATCATAAGCTCTCATACTGACACCAGTTGGCAGGGGAATGGGAGCAGAGCACTGCCTGCTTCTGCAAGGCAGGGGATAGAAGATTAACCCCCTGCTTGGTCCTGCCCAAACTGAGTCCCCTGGGTAGGGAAACTAAAGCATGCTGCTTGCTTCTGGGATGACTTGGATGGTGAGCTTCCTACTTGGCCAGTTGAACCTTCAAGGGTGGGGAAGGTCAGGAGTGTGTGTGGTTTTCTATTGATGTTTAGCTGGAGTAAGGTGAGTAATACCCAAAATATTTTCGGTTGTTAGGCTGCCATTTTCGTAGTCATTTTCCTTGGGTAGAGGGACAGGCTTCTCTTGGAGGCTTTTTTCTGTCTGTCCCTGTTGGCAGTTTTGAGTTGGAAGCTTCTCCCATACCCTTTTTTGGATATGTGGGAGGTGTTAAGGAGACCCAGGTGGCATACCACTGTATTGTTCCTCAATTTGTGAGGTCCCTTGGATCTTTTCCTTTCCATATTTTTCTTTCTTTCCACCACTCAGAGATTTCCTATGCTTGTTGTGTTATGTTCAGGGTTTTTAACTTGTAAGAAGGAGCACCTGGAGGCATGGGGATACTCTGTTTTGGCAGGAACCCATTCCACCGATTTTTACCTTCAGTATCTTTCAAATCCATTAACATCTCAGCATTCTCACTGTAATAGCTAACCAATCCTTTGGACTATTACAGTGGCCTTCAAACTAATAATTATATACTGTGAGAGCATTTTTCCCATACAGAAAATAAGGATACCCAAAAAATTTGACAGGATTTAAAAACAAACAAAGAAACAAACAAACAACTTCCAGTTATGAAAGGCAACCTGGGAGATGCAGCTTAGACACCCAATATTAGGGATCCCATGATTTGATGGTTTAACTTAATAGTGACAACATATCAGGTTGTTCTAAATTCGGACTATCTCCCCAAACCTTAAAGTTGTGAGTCTTATAATTCTAGCATTAATAGTTCAGAAAAGGAAGAGATCACTTCCAGCTAAGGTTTTCAGGAAAGCATTCATGTAAAAGCTTAGTTTTATGGGAAAAGATAGGCAACACAGTATGAATAAATGTACAAGGCATACGTGGGGGGGGTGGTAGAGTAAATTTTTTTGTTTGAAATATTTTGTGCAGTTTTTCCTAATTGATAATAATTATCACACTGGGTGTTTTTTAAATATATAGATTAGCAAGTCTTTGAATTAGAAAGTTTGATTCAATAGGTCTGTGTGGAAGTGTAAGAATCAGTGTTTTTAAACAAGCATTTTAGGTGATTGTTAAGTTCAGGAAAATTTGGGAAACAGAACAGTACAGAAAATAATGGCAGATCAAATTGGAATAGAAAGTAGATGCCAGATTATGTGGGGCTTTAAATACCAGGTAAAGAAGCTCAGAATGTCATTGCTGAATATGGGAAATATTTAAGATTTGGAAGTCTATGACTCCCTTCTGGTCCTTACACTGGAAATGGTGCCAGTATTATGAATGTGTATAGCATAGTTTAATAGCTATTGCCTTATTTACATTGGAAGAACTGTTAGGATTACCTGGACTCTGCAGAAATATGTAGTTGCAGGAATAAGACCTTTAACTTCATAGCTCAGACAAGGGCCAGTGTAAATCAAGTGCATCGATTCTTCAATCTGTCCCCACTCTAGTCTGTAATCAGTGATTTCAGCACCATTACATACAGGGATCTGAAAGATGCAACAAACAGAAATTGAGTACTTTCTGCGAGTGTTCACTCTACTAGATACTGTGGATAGTTACAACATATTCCTTTCAGTGTCATAGCTTATAATCTATTAAGTGGTATGTGACATAGACAAGTGCAGAAACAATTAAACTTAAGACAGAAAACTATATTTAACATTAAAAGACTCAAATAAAATTAAGAGAAAGGATTGACTAAGCCTACATATTTGATGAATTATTTTTTAATTTATTAAAATTATTTTCAAATGGGTTACTTAAAAAAGAGCAAACTTTGGGCCAGCCGAGTGGCGCGATGGTTAAGAGCTGGCTTGGGACACCAGAGGGCCCCGGTTTGGATCCCACATATGAGGGCCAGTGACACTGCCCTC